AAAAATAAATGTAGAATAAAAGTCACGTTAGGCTTGAACATTTCTGAAGAAAACCACTGTTTGAATAATTTCAATGCTAACAAGAAGTGATTAAGTAGAATTTTAAGTAGAATTTTGCATCCTATTTCAAAAAATCATTGATTAATATAAAATGTAGTAATTATTAGGATTAGTAAGTATACGATATAAAGTACATCATGTGAATCTGGTAACCAACAACCGTAATAACCTTGTTTTGTTACTTTTCATATTCGCAGTAAGGACCAATTATCATTCGTATTTCTACAACTATTTCATTTTCACACCATCTTGATGCTCATCAGAGCTCCATAAAGCATATTTACGTACCGTGTGAAAATATTAAAAATTTGCTGTCAGTTTCGTTCGAAATTCCTGAGAAGGCAATAACAATGAATAAAATAAATCCCGATGAGTGTTTCGAGTTACGCATTTACCGCCCCACAAAAGCCATAAATAAAAATCTAAGGAGAAATCAGTCGGTCTTCAAAGCTCCAATATAAAAATAAACCAATTCGCAAATGGTACACGCAACCCAATTTTACTACCGCGCTGACATTCGACTCCGATTCCGATTCCGACACAGTAGCATGTGCTAGGTGGTCCAACGGTTATCAGCACTGATAGCAGCTACCGAAACAAATCCATAGCCGAAGTCAAGAGTAAAAATACAAACAATGGGTGAATGAACTACAGAACCTACAACAACAAGAAAAATGCAATTCAATGTTGAACGAAAGCTCCTTTCTTCTCACGTTACTCACCAAAACAAAAAAAAAAAAAAACAAAATTGGAAGTTAAACGAGCGAAGCAAGAAAGCTTTTTGCAGATGCTGTACTGTGCTATAGAGTGTGCTGTACTGTATGGAGGGAACAACAACAAAGGCGGGAACATTTTGAAAATGGCGCTTCCTGTGATGTTCTATCAAAACATTTTATTTAAAACAAATATTTAAAGCGCACCCAAATAAATTTGAAGGCAAATACAATTCAAAGAAAACAAAAGAACAAAAATTGTTTGAATGAAAATAATAGAAAAAAATAATTTTCTTCTGATAAGATTACTTGGTTGTTGTTATTGCTCCCGTTAAAAGTTATGTCGCTGATATATTTGCTGTCATATCTAAAAATATATGTACGTCATATATATATGAATGTACATATATGCATAAATAAATATGTATATATATATATATATTCTGATAAGAAGAAATAAAAGTCGATATCGAAAGGCAAACAAGGAATAGGTTCGCAGCATTTTTAAGCAGCCACCTACGAACTGAACTGAACTGAACTGCACATTTAACCCAAAGCAAATTTCTAACGATTTTTGTGTTGACTTTTTGTTTGTACTGTTGTGTTTATTTATTTTCATTTGTTTGTGTTTGACATCAGTTTTAATGGCGGGGGGTACAGTACATGAAGCGCTTTATAATTTTTCCTTATAGCGAAATGTTGGCTTTAAGAGTTGGAAGCCATGGTAAGATGGCGCGCTTTCTTGCCTCAAGTCGATTTAATATAAAATAATTTTTGAAAATAAAAAATTGTTTATTGTGTTATGATTAAATTTTATATAAATATCAACTTACTAAGGAGGGTACAATACGTACGAAGCGCATAATCATATAAAAAATATAATAAATTTTAACAATTTTGATATTTTAAATTGATTTATTAAACACTATCTAATCAAGTTTTGGATTAATTTTTATCTGAAGTTTACGTCAGTTTTTATACTTGCAAT